CAAACACACCATTTCTTCAAAACAACAATTAAAATCATTGCTTCAAGAAGAATGGGGTAAAATCACTCCAGAAATCACAAAAGAATTAGTCGAATCCATCCCAAGAAGATTAAATCACGTTTTAAAAGTAAAAGGAAATCTAAAAAATTATTAAAACATTTTAAGAAGTAAAATTTTTGGATAAATATTTGATTGAAAATTAAGTGTCCCATCACTTATGTGAGCCATTTTTTGCTCCATTGTATTTTTATTAAATTACTATTTTAATATTTTGAGAAAATGTATGTTATGTAATAATTGTTACTAAATTTAAGCATGAAACACACCCACAAAAAATTTTTACATGTTTTTTTAATTTATTTTACTACAGTTTCCTTTCGTTAAGCACAAGTGTCCCATCACTTTTGTGAGACACTGTATATCTAGAGAGATAAGAGTTAGCTCATTAAAATGTATATTGAAGACTTTAAAAATTATTCATTGAAGACTTTAAAAACTTCAAATTTCCCACATGCTTACAAAAAACCTGCCGTCGTTAAAATTATCATTCTCAGTAAAAAGACTTTCCTTAATTCATTAATTAGCTGGCAGTAAATATACAACTGATCTATCCGAAGTTAACAAGCTGTGCAAGTTCCCGAAACAGCGCGAGTATTTTATCGTCGTAGCTCAGAGCCCAAAATATGCAAATATTTTTTCTTCTGTTCTTCTCTTCCTTTTTAGATCAAAGGGACAATTTGTCCAGAAGGACTATTACTTTCATTTTAGCATTTTGCATCGATTCCCGTTAAACGAGGTTTCTCTTTTGAAATTGTTGCCACCAAATATTATCGCTCTGTATTATATTTCAAAAAATTAAATAATGAAGAATCTGCATGATTGTATGTATGTTTCTTGCGCTGTGATAAAACAACGATACCTAGAGCTATCAAAATGTGAATAACGTAATCTTCCATATAATATGGACAAGTGGAAGCAGTAATTCGAATTTTAAATTTGTTTTATTAACGATTTCATATTTAGTTACACTTCAACGAATTTTTGATTACTAAACCATTTGACTTCAAAACGAGCAATAGCAACACTGTACGAAAAAAACATTTTTATCTCCAGCGCGCAAGACTCTCTATCGGAAATTCTAAAGATATGCTCATTTTAAAATTATTTTGCGATATTGCTGTTTAACTTAATTTTATGTTTTAAGTCCGAAGAACGTGATATTTAATAAACACAGGGAACACAAAATATTTAAAAAATGCCCCTTTGGACGTAATTTAAAATGTGAAACCTTTCTTTTATATATATATATAAATCTTTTCTTTTATATATATCTGTTTGTCGCATTGTACCAAACGGATATTTGGAGTCGTGAATAAACGTACTACCATGTAGAATTTTCGAAGATCAAATCTGGCCACAAATCTTTTCTTATATATATATATGTGTGTGTGTATATATAAATCTTTTTATATATATATTATATATCTATATATATATATATATATATATAAAGAAAAGATTTGTGGCCAGATTTGATCTTCGAAAATTCTACATGGTAGTACGTTTATTCACGGCTCCAAATATCCGTTTCGTACAATGCGACAAAGAGAAATTTATTTTATTTTTCCCATTGCCGTATTTTGTTTCAATTAAATTACCAAACTAATGAAAATATTTATCCCCGTAATAAATGAAAGATGCGCTTTTAATTAGCATAGTTTAATTAAACTATGAAATTTTCCATTTATAGATTATTATACATGTTATTTTTTACTATTAGCTATAAATGCAATTATTATACATTATGCATTTATAGCTAAACTTTATATCGGACATAAATTCATTACATTTATTTAGCCTATTTTTCTTAAAGGTAATATAGTTAAGTTCGTATGTAGTAGGCTGTGATTCACAGAGTATACAGAAACATTTTTCACAGCTATTATATAAGACTTAAATTTCCTAATCAGCTAGGGTGAAGCAACGTTACCAAATGCTTCTTTTTTGCGTTGAAAGTAATGCATTTGCATGTATTGGAATGGATTTAAAAAAATTGTGACTAATTTTAAAAGTACAGAACATGAACTTTTATTTCTCAAGCTACATTATGCATTTATATATATATACAAGCTATATTTTGTTGAACCAGATTTGATTCTATTAAAGAGAGCACAACTGGTCTAGTTATCATTTCTGTTTTCCCATGCGGAGAGGCCCACCATCGTCCGAGCGGTAAATTTGCTGAACACTGGTAGTTCGGTCCGAGGTTCGAATCCCGCTAATGCGCTTGTTGCATAGGCGTTTTCGTGATTTTCTTGTGACTTATATTCGAGCCATTTTACCTTAGAAAGTCATCCTCGAAGGTATCACTACTCTTAGGCGATAGACCGCGAGAATTTGCAGTAATCACATAAACCAAACTCATGACAGAAACGTTGAAACTATGTTTAACTCTTTGCAGTATGTACCTTGGATATTCTGCTATTATTTGCTATTTATACGCTGCCAGTATTTTTTTAAGATGAAGGTTTTTCTCATAAGGTGTTTGCTTCAAAGTCTTGGCACCTGGGCACCAGGTTCCATGATTTTGCGATCGTGATATATTTATAAATAAATTTTACACGCAGCACACTCAATGTTATCATTTTCTCGTGCGTGAGTAAAATTTGAAGGGGATACAACATTTTAATATCTCTCTGATAGTACTAGACAACCGCATATTAATTCTCTAATGTTGGAAAATTTCAAATTAAAGTGTATATGTGGGGCCATATACACTTTAGTTTGAAACAAGTTGTTTCAAAAGTTCTGCATTTGTATTAACTTCAAGACATACTATTACAATTTTATGTAGCATTTTTATTTGCTGTATTTGTATTTTATTATCAGAACGAAGAAGAAGACAATATCTTCATCTTCCTTTTCCATAAGAGCTTATCAGAATGAGTGAATTTTAGTTAGGTAACACAGATTTATTATCGCAATCGTAAAATGGAATTCACATGCATTTCCCGAAATATACACCGGACTTAAGAACAAACTACACATTATTAAACATTAATTCCGTTTTAAGAGTGTGGGTGCTTATTCTGCGCGGTAAGGTGTGTGGGGGGGGAAGTTAAAAATATTAATCTGAATTTTAACTGAAAAATTAATTTTAGCGAATTTTCTGAATAATGCTGTTTGGAATTTCCGTAATACTCTTAAAGGAAATTAATTGTTTTCTAAAGCTACTTTTAAGGCTTATAACTAACGTTGTTACTTATGGAAAATTTTACTTAAATTTCCTCAATTTCTCCTCATAAGTTTAGAAAGGCTTTATCCCCTTCTTTATCAGTGCTGTTCAAGTTACTTGCAAACTGGTCATCTGCCTGTCTCTTTTTCAATTTGCTTGCAGACTTATCTACCGCTTGCAGAATTTGCAGTGTGTTGTTTACAGGAGGTTTACAGCTGTTTAAAATTTAATGGTAATTTTATTTTATTTTTGTGTGTGTGTGTGCAAATTTAGTTTCGAATTCTTAATTAAGAGCAATACACTTTAATTTGGAATTAATTAATTTATAGTGCTTCAAAAATTATGCATTTGTATTAATTTGAAGACACAGACACAGATTGCTATTTTTATGTAATATTTTTATCTATTACATCTGTATGTTTGTTATCCGAACGAAGAACAAGACAATACTTTCGTCTTCCATCTTCATAAAGAGCGTATATCAACTCAGTGAATATTGCTTAGATAACACTGATTTATTTGTGGCAGTCGTATAATTGAATTCTCATACATTTTCCGAAATATACACCAGACATTAAGAATTGTCCTTTAATTCCGTTTTAAGGAGTGTAGGATGTGAGTTGAGGTGCTTATTATGTCCGGTAAATTGGGCTGAGTTTCAATATATTAATCTTATTTTTAACTCAAAAATTAAATTTGGCGATTTCTCTGAATAATGCTGTTTGAAATCTGGGTAATGATACTTTGGACGAAAATGAAGTGTTTTTGAAAGCTACTTTTAAGGCTTATTACTAACGTTGCTACTTGTGGAAAATTTTACTTAAATTTCCTCAATCCTCTCCTCCTAAGTTTAGAACGGCCTGATCCTCTTCTTTATCAGCGCTGTTCAAATTACTTGCTAACTGGTCATTTGCCCTGTCTCTTTTTCAATTTGCTTGCAGACTTATCTACCGCTTGTAGAATTTGCAATGTGTTGTTTACAAGAGTTTGTTTACAGCTGTTTAAAATTTAATGGTAATTTTATTTTATTTTTGTGTGTGTGTGCAAATTTAGTTTCGAATTCTTTCGCTTAATTAAGAGCAATTTTCATTTTAGCAGCAATTATATTGATGATATTATGGTAAAATTTTATATAAGTTGTTTCTGAGAAATAAGTCAACGAAATGTTTGCTCATGATAAATGTCTCGTAGACTCACGTCACACCCATGTGAGCTAAATGAGTCACTATTAATATTTAAATTTTTGTCACAAGTAATCCAGCTATTCATTGGAATATTCTGGTTTTTATTTTATCCATACTTAAAAAATACTAATTTTGAAACACTTTAAAATAAATATTCAAATTAAAATTTAGTAAGATCAGATTTCTCTTCACACTCAATTCTTAAAAGACGCATGCTTTTGTCTGGTTGCATTTTAATTTTCCTATTATTTCTTTTTTTTATTTGAATACGTATTTATATATATCGTATCCTTATCAGTAATATACATTATTTTTAACTTAAAATGCACATAACTTAATTTTATGTTTTGTTTAATTTTGTTTCGTTTGTGCGTATGAATGATCAATATGAACAGTTCCAAATTCGTGAAAAATCACCAAAATCTAGTAATACCATTAGTTGAATAATCTTGAATAATATCAATCGCTAATTGATCATAGAGGCGGGAGATCGCATTGCGCATGCGTGCTGCAACGTGATTGGCTGAATGCTTGTGACAAAAATTTCAACTGAAAGATGCTCAGAACGCTCCGGAGATTGCTCAAAGTAGTGTTTGAATCAAGGCGTTGGTGGAACTAGTGTTTAGTGTTTTTATCACACCAATTTATCTTGTGTTTGGAAGCTCGGGATAGAAAATTTCGCTGGAAAAACATTAAGCATGGTATGTTTCTTTCAAGTTACATTTCATTTGTAAAATGTGTATATCTGTAGAATTTGACTGCCGCTTTCAATTTTCAAATATTTTTTGTTTATGTTAATAAATATATCTTATAGAGTTTATAATATATCTTATAGAATCTTTATTGAGTTTTATAGATTAGATTAGATTTTTTAAGTTGTAGTAATTATGCTGAGTGTGGAATATTTGTGTATTGGCGGACTTAATATTAACGTGCATTCGAATGTCAAAAAGTCTAAAGTTCTAATATAAAGTCGTATCTCAGTGAAAGATTTTCTGGCCTGATTTAAATTTTTATGTAATCAGAGAAAGATAATCGGATTAGTCTTAGAATACCTTTTGCCACTATGCAGTTTTTCTGTTTGAAGTAGAAAACAAAAATACATATATTACTTGTGATTTTTCCAAATTTTCATTTTTTCTGTTTGGCCCACCAGCGGCCGAGCGGTAAAGTCGCTGAACACTGGTAGTTCGGTCCGAGGTTCGAATCCCGCGAACGGGCTGGCTGCATGGGTGTTTTCGTGGTTTTCCCCATGTGTAACGTGTATACGAGCCAGTTTCCCTTAAAAAGTCCTCCACGAAAGGCATCCCTCCCCTTAGGCAGATAGCCCTAGTGTGCTTTGCCATAATTAAATACACCAAATACACCACCATTTTTTCTGTTTGAAGTAGAAAACAAAAATACATATATTACTTGTGATTTTTCCAAATTTTCATTTTTTCTTTTGAATTTAAACTTAAAAATGTGTTACAGTTTAATACATCGAAATTTTTAAAGTTATAAAAATTAAGAAGAATTATTAGTCATAAATTTAAAAACATTTTTGCAATTTTTAAAAGTTTATAATTTTTACATTTTTAGCCCAAAGGGCTTTAGCTCAGAAGGGCTATTAATTTCGTTTTGGCATTTTGCGTTGTTCCCCACTATAAACGACTTTTCACTTTGAATTGTTGCCCTGCATTATATTTAAAGAAATTAATTAAGCAAAATTATGCATGAACATATATATGTTTCTCGCGCTACAAAGAAACAGCGGTACCTAGAGTCATCGAATTATAAATAGCGTAGTCATACACCCGAATATGGGCATCTGGAAGCTCAAATTTGTAATTCGTTTTCCTTATTCACACCAATACACCCATAGGTTTTTCCTGTTACGTATTTCACATATTGTAAAACTTTAATGAAGTTTTGATTAACAAACTCAGGTTATATCAAAGCGAGCAATGGGAGCATTGTACGGGAAAAAAAAATATCTCCAGTACGAGAAACATTGTAGGGAAAATTCTAAAGATATGACCTTTTAAATTAATTTGTGATATTTTTGATAATTGAATTTTAGGGTTTAAGTGCGAAAAAAAATGATATTTAATAAATAAAGTTAACACACAAAAAGTTAAAAAAAAAAAAAAAAAAAAAAAGACGTAATATAAAATCTGAAAGCTTTCAGATTTTTTAACTTGTTTCAAAAGGTGTTAAAAACATTTTAAAATTGGGGATAAAATTTGCTGTTTTTTTTTTTTTTTTTTTTTTTTTTTTTCTCACTGTAAATTTGTGCCACATGGACACTTAAGCTGATATTAAAAAAAAAAAAGAGAATACTTAATTATGTAGATGTATATGTTGCATAATTTCACTGCATCATTTCCACACAAGAATGCAAATAATAATAATAATTAGTAAAAATATAGAATATGTATTTGAAAAGAGGTCTTAAAAACATTTCAAAATTGCAGGTAAAATTTGCTATGTTTTTTGCTCATTGTAAATCCGTGCCACGTGGACACTTGAGCACACATTAAAAAAGAAAATTCTTAATTATCTAGATGTAGATGGTTAAAATATTTTGTGTTATTGATTTTAAATTAAATTTTATGGTTTAAGTGCGAAGAACAGGATATTTAATAAATAAAGGTAACACACAAAACGTTAAAAAAAAAGCTCCTTAGGGCGTAAAATATAAAATCTGAAAGCTTTCAGATTTTTTTTAACTTGCTTCAAATGGTTTTAAAAACAACATTTTCAAATTGGGGATAAAATTTGCTGTTTTTAATAATAATTATTATTATTCAAAATATAAAACCATGTATTTAAAGAGACCTTAGAAACATTTCCAAATTGAAGGTAAAATGTGCTATGTTTTTAGCTGATCATTGTAAATTCGTGCCACGTGGAGACTTGAGCACATTCTTAATTATCTAGGTGTAAATGTTGATTTATTTCACTATATTTTATATATTGCATCATTTCTACACAGGAATGAAAAACGAAAAAAAATTAGTCTTGAGAAAGAAGATTAGGACAAAAATTCGCTTGTGTGGGATTTTGCTTTGAAATAATTATATGTATTAAATGACTACGTGCTCCAAAATATAGTATAGTGACCACGTGGTTTGGAGGAAATTGTCTATTTGTAAATAAGCCGCAGCTTATTTTCATTCGTAATTTACATGCTACTGATAATGTAATTGGTGAAAATAGAAAATATTATGCGTAATTCTAATTAATATTTGTGTTAAATAATTAAAATTTTCGTTTGTTTCTAAAATTCCTGATATGGTTAGACAAAATGTTTTATCGGCTAAATCGCAGAATAGGCTGCATCAGTCGATGCTGTGTTTACTTCTCTTACGCGTGGACACACCTTTTTATGACGTAATATTGGTTACGCCTCTTCTTAAAAACAAGTTATAAGTATGCTATAGCTTCGTATTTGAAGAAAACTTAAATTATATTTTAACTGAGTTGAAATGGTAGGTTTATAATGTTCTGCGCGAGATTTTTTTAAATTATAGATATACTTTGTGTGTTGTGTGGTAGTGTTAGCATTTAATGCAACGAATTATCTCTCATAAATGTATTACTAAGATACCAAACGACTGAAAACGATCATTACCAAACTTTTGAAAATATTGAATGCATGCGTTAAAAATTACAACGGTAACTTCTGATAATACAAAAGAGAACTCTTTTGCTTAAAGAATGTTTTTTTTTTAATTGATGAGTGTGTCAAAATCGGTGCTTACTGCAGAATGGATGAGTATCTGAATCTGGATTTTTTTTATCAGTTGGAGCGAAGAGGTAAAAAGAGCGTTATTGAGTGGTGTATCGAGAAAAGTTTGATTGCAATATCGTATAAGTGCCCAATTTGTGGAACAAATATGAAACTAGTAGAGCGAAAAAACTGTATAGACGGTTTTGAGTGGTGCGCAATGCCGAGTTTGTGCAATTCTGGGATTTTTTTAAAGTGAAAATAGATCGATGTACACATGGGGAAAGCGAATGTGGTGCGCAATGCCGAGGTTGTGCGCGATGCCGAGTTTGTGCAATTCTGGGATTTTTTTTAAGTGAAAATAGATCGATGTGCACATGGGCAAAGCCAATGTGGTGCGCAATGCCGAGGTTCTACGTGCAAGCCGAGTTCTGTGCAACTCTATGGTATTTTTTAAGTGAAAATTGATCGGTGTGCACATGGGCAAAGCCAATGTGGTGAGTAATGCCGATGTTGTGCGCGATGCCGAGTATGTGCAATTTTGGGATTTTTTTTTAAGTGAAAACAGATCGATGTGCACATGGGCAAAGCCAATGTGGTGCGTAATGCCGACGGTTTTGTGCGATGCCGAGTTTGTGCAATTCTGTGATTTTTTTAAGTGAAAATAAATCGATGTGCACATGGGCAAAACCAATGTGGTGCGCAATGCCGAGTTTGTGCAATTCTGGGATTTTTTAAAGTGAAAATCGATCGATGTGCACATGGACAAAGCCTATGTGGTGCGCAATGCCGAGTTTGTGCAATTCTGGTATGTTTTTTTAAGTTGATCCATGTGCACATGGGAAAAGCCAATGTGGTGCGCAATGCCGATGTTGTGCGCGATGCCGAGTTTGTGCAATTCTGGGATGTTTTTTTAAGTGAAAATAGATCGATGTGCACATGGGCAAAGCCAATGTGGTGCGTAATGCCAAGTTTGTGCAACCTGGGATGTTTTTAAGTGAAAATAGATCGATGTGCACATGGGTAAAGCCAATGTGTTGCGCAATGCCGAGGTTGTGCAACTCTGGGATGTTTTTAAGTGAAAATTTATCAGTGTGCGCATGGGCAATGTCAGTGTGGTGCGGAATGCCGAGTTTGAGCAATTATCTGATTTTTCTTTAAGTGAAAATAGGTGGATGAGCACATGGACACCGAGTTTGTGGAATTCTTTGATGTTTTTCGAGCGAATACTGATCGTTGTGTAAAAGGGAAAACGAGGTTGTGTGTGATGCCGAGCAGTAATGTAAACTTTATTTATGTGCAATGTTTAACATATCGTTTGTGTATTTTAAATTTGTATTGTTGTTATTATTGTGAATATATTTAACACATCATTTTTCACTTAAATTGTATTTTTAATTTTTTGTTTTTGATATGTTTTACACGCTTTCCGACTTACGATATATATCAATAGCCCGACGATCTACTCAACAGTATTAAAACTGTCTTGAAGTCATATTTTAATACGTAGTGTTTGGTATCGTAATTGCACTTGATAACATCAGTTCATTGATAATATGTGTGTGTGTGTGCGTATGAAAAGCATTGCTTAGTGTTCCAAGTTTGTAGTATTTATTTTATTATATTATTTTCTTTCATTCTGAGAAATTAGATTTTTTTACTTATTAATGCGTAGAATTCTAGTATGCCTACAGAGAATGTGGCGTGATTTAGGAATTTTAGAAACTGATATGAAAGTTGTGTAATGATGTTCACATGCAATAAAAATATTCTTTTTTATTAATGTTATGTTTAAAATTTTTAGAACATAATGAAAATTGTCTAATTATTGGTATGTAAGGAATTATGCCGTTACGTAGCAAGAAGGTAATTTGTAAAAATGATAAAATTGAAATGTTCCACAATATGAATTTAAATTATTTTTTTTTATTTGTATAAATGCTTTAATAAAAATCTTAGAAAATATTGAAGCTCTACAAGTATTAGAGA